TCTCCGTCTAGCCAGAAGAGGTTTTCTTCCTCTTCCTCTTCCTCAGCTCCCCATGCAATGCTGGCGAAGGATATGCCAAGTCACATCTCTGTTGTAGTGGAAAGATGTAAGAATCATCCGGTCTCCACAGAGGTGGAGAATTTGAACGACAATACAACTTACGTCACATGTTCACTCGTCATGACACTGCAAATATCATATGTCACCCGCCACCAAATGCTAGAGTCTCTCAAAGACTACTCATAAACCTTCCCTATTGCCAAACAATACACCATCGTTCAGTCTTGGAGAGCAAAGGTACCCTTGGTGCCTTTAATCTTCCAAAATCAGGTCCCAGTGGAATAAGAAAACAATTCTATATGGGCGGGAGAAATGACCCCAAATGATGAGCTGGATTCCCCCCACCCCGGCCCGCCCCGCACAAGTTCCCACGCATGTGAAATACGGATTAGGTCACAAATAAGATTATATTCGGCACCAAGCCCCACAGGCATGCTGTGATTAAGGTTAAAGGAGTCCAGAGACTTCAAGTTGAGAAGCAAGGCTGAGTTGGGTTGAAATTTGCAACCCCTCCCCAAAGGCCTGGCAACCTGTTCCAAATCACAACTGAAACCAAGTTGAAGGGACATCTGTTTCTCCAGAAAGTGTTTGGCACTGCAGAGAAGAACCACAGATTAGAACAGATAAATATTGTTGTGGGCAGAGAGGCAATGGGGGCGCAGGCGGTGGTTACCAAGAAAATTAGAATCATCTACCCACTAACAAACTCCTGTGACTCAACAGATATCATCAAGGGAAAAAGAAAAAAGGAAAGAAAGGAAGGAAGGGAGGGAGGAAGGAGGTAGGGAATTAAAGGGGGGAATGGTTCCTTTTTTCTAGCAGGAGCAGATAAAACTTAAGGGAACAAAACGCTGCCACATGTGAGATGAACATTCAGAGCCACTATTTGTATAATGACTTAACGTTGGATCGGCAGCAAGAGGAAAGGCACTGAGCACTCTGCTTGGAGTCTGGTAACAAAGACCACATTAAATGCAAATATTTGACATAATATTGAGGAATCGTTTCCTAAGCCTTAACGGCATGGACCACCAGGATCATTTTATGAGTAGATATTACCGGTTTTGCTCTGGTCCCTATATCTCTTCTAATGCGAGTTAACATAGCATCCACCTAACTTCTGGGCCAGGTATCTGGAGCTCATAAGGTCTGACAATGGAATGAGATGAGTAGGTAATTGAATTTCTTTGTTTTATAGTTAGAAACTCAGGGTTCTGGAGATTTTCTTCCAAAACAGGTGTAGGAACAACAGTAACTATGGCAATCACAGGAGTGTTGATGACGATGGTGGTGATGGTGGTAAGAATGGCAGTAGTATTATTATTAAGGGTAATAACACCAATCATTACTTAGACAACACTTCCTAAATACTGGGTACTCTTCTGAGCATTTAAAAGACACTGACTTGGGACACCTGGGTGGCTCAGTGGGTTAAAGCCTCTGGTCATGATCCTAGGTCCTGGGATGGAGCCCCGCATCGGGCTCTCTGCTCCGCAGGGAGCCTGCTTCCTCCTCTCTCTGCCTGCCGCTCTGCCTACTTGTGATCTCTGTCTGCCAAATAAATAAATATAATCTTTTAAAATAAAATAAAATAAAATACACTGACTTATTTAACTCTCCCAGCACTCCTCAAGGTAGATAAGCTAGTCTTAGTGTCCCTGTTTTACAGATGCTTTCAACAATATCTTTGTGATTTCTGTTGTTGTTAACGACTAGAACTAGCTTTCAAAGAAAACAGTTTAGAACCAAAAGGGGAGGAAGTGCAGCCTGACCAAGGTCACCCAGCTAGAAGACAACAGACCCAGGATTCAAACCCAGGCTGCCCAGCTCCAAAGTCTGACCTCTTAACCCCTGTGCTGTCCTCACTGCCCCTTTGTTTGGGAAGGCCTTCTAGAAAAGGAATGTGGAAGGAAGTTAGGCCCCTGCCTGCTGGTGGCCACGATTAATACTGGAAGTCTGCTGTTTCCTTTCAGAGTCTCCTAAACCCACATTAAGACATGCAGCCCTGCTTCTGCAGCTATTAAAACAAAACGAAACAAACAAAAAAACAAAAACAAAAGCAAAAAACCCCCGCACTGTCTTACCGAGCTGTTCCCACATGGTCTGTGACCTTCATTAGGGCTCTCACCTTTGCCAGCTAAGGCAGAAGCTGGGGGTGGGCGGAGGTGGGAGCATCAGTTCCCAGGCCCACATTTCCTGCCAGTCACCCGGCCCTCTAACAGACAAGGCTGAGAAATTCCTCACTAACAAGTGATCTCATGGAGCTTGTTCCTTGAGCCTTTATTAAGAATGAATCTTTTCTGGCCAACCCATGACTCAAGGAAGACCAAGGGCTGAGGAGGAAAGACAAGCTGCAAAGTTTGTTTATTAACCTGCTGCACCCAAGGGAACATTTTTCTGAAAGAGTGAAATTCCTGACTACTCAAAGCAGTAGCCTGGGGGGGGGGGGGGGGGGGTGCTGTGGGAAATTTAATCAACGACAGAACAAAAGTGAAAAACAAAGCCCTTCCAATAAGGATGTTGCCGAAGACAATGGGGCCCCTAAAGGAGATGGAATTGTCTCGAGATAACAATCCAGCCAGGAATTCAGCTCCCTCAAGTACTACATTATTGCTATATTAGCCGAGGAATCTTTGTTCACCGGGCAACTGCGCGCAGAACCATCTGTTACGGCTCCCGGGTTCCCCCGGTTTGCAGACTCGGCATTTACATTTCAAGAGGAACCTCCGGGAAGGAAAAAAAGGGAGGTCACTATCTCTCCCGGGAGCAAATACCTTTTCAGACGGCCTGGGAGGGGAAGCTCTCCTTTCCCAGAAACCGAACTCCCGCAAATGAAAGGAGATAGGCCGCTTCAATAATGCACGCGCAGAGCAGAGCGCCACCGCCGCCTAGTCCTAAAGCCACGCACGCCCCCACGGGTCTCGCATTCTCCAATGGGCATACCCGCAAGGCATCGCGAATAATGCCAGGCCCGTCGGTAGGTCCTAATCAGAGCTCTACTTTCTTAAGGAAGCCCTGCTTTTTTTTTTTTTTTAATTCTTTTAAACCAGTGGAACCAGGACAAAAGCTGATATCCTGTCCTGCAAAACATCTAGCCTCATACATACCACCACTTAAAAACAGACCGTGATCCTCTGGGCGAAAGGAGATGTTTTAGACCCTGATCTGGATGTAGGTTGTAATGGTACATATACATACGAGAACATTCACGTAGATGTGCACTTAAGACTTGTGCCCTTTCCTGCAATTTATACGACAAACCATTTTCTAAGTAGACTATATTAATGTTACAAAGAATATTGTGCACGCTTGCCTCCACGAATTGCAAGACTCCTGGGCTCTGATGTTCTGCCCTCACCTACTATCCACATCTAAAATCTCTCCTGAGAATTTTAAAGTTCAAGAACATGAAAAATACAGCTCTCCAACTCTCAACTAAGCCAGTGAATACAAACGTCTCTTGTGTGTCCTGTGAGCCCAAGTATGCCGTACAGAGAGCACCTGTCACCCCCCCACCAAGCCTTTCTGGCCACATATCAAAAATTAAAAGCCAAGGTGTTTTTCTCATCAGGTCATAAGCCATCAAATTATGAGAGATATAATTGGGGCTTTTATCAACAGAGCCTCAAGTTTAATCTTCTGTTTCTTTCACCCTATTTTTAAATGGATGTTTCTAAACTCTGCCTAACACTCTTGCTTGGATCTGGCTAACGCTGGAGGGGGCAGGCCTCTTGCTGGAGCACTGGAGCAGCAGTCCGTGAGGGTGGTTTCTGCAAGCAGTTTAGCAGGTTCAAATCTGTACCATCGTAGCTCTGTTACCCATGAAACATCCTGACAACGGGCGGGGGGGGGGGGGGTGTCACCCAGTGACAGCCTGAGTACTAACCCGCTTCACCATTGCTGGGCCAATGACTTAGCGGTGCATTCGTTCCTTTGAACTATCCGCAAGGAGGGCTGCCTGTCACTGAGGAAAAGGGTCAAATTCGCCTTCCGCTAAGCCTCAAGAAAGGCCATCTGGCGAAACCGAGGCTCACTGCACGGATCACAGGGGGTCACCTTTCCCCCCTCGCGCCCTCCAAGCGTCCTGATCCCCGGCAGACACGTCATTTGGGGAGCGCAGGACCACGAAGCTGCATCTACAGATAGACATCGAGAATCAGGATCACCCAGCGAGAGCCGCCTGGACTGAGCCGAGAGCTCCAGTGATTTCCCTGGCCTGCCACCGAGTCATTTAAGAAGTGAAATATGCCAGCGGGGCCTGCGACCCGGCAACCTGGGAGCCCGCCCCGCCGCCTCTAGTACAGAGCAGGGGTTGCCAATGGCTGGGCAGCGTCTATGCGGATGGCGCGCTTGCAGGTGGGTCTTGCAGTCTCCCCGGCCCTGTGCGCTGGGCCAGCCTCACACCTGACCCGCTGCCAGGATACAGCCAGAAGCTCTGGTGGGTACGCGCTTCCGTGGAGACACTGCCAACTCCGCTCCGGAGGAGCTGGGACGGGAGGAGGGGGTGTCAAGAGGGGTAAGGTAGGACCGGGAGCAGGACACCCTCCCCCCCCGAAATGCGGCGTCTGCAGCACTCTGGGTCTCGCGCTTCCTGCGCCTTTGCGGCGCTCCTGCGGGCACTGCGCTTTCCTCGGCCCGGCGTGGAAGCGGCGGGAGCTGAGATTCGCGCGGCTGGCGGGCAGGAGGGATGCAGGCGCAGGAGACCACTCCGTGCCCCCCACGCGCACAGCCAGACTGCGGCGCCCCTCATTCACGCCCACCCTCTCCCGAGACCCGCGCCAGGGCATCGCAGATCGCCCGAGGCTCGGGCGGGTGATTTGGGCCAGCTGGCAAAAGAAAGTGGGGGGGGGGGGGGGGCGAGGCTGGACCTGTCGTCCGTGTGTGCGGGTCGGTGGCTTCGGGCGCCCCTGCAAGGCCTCCCGCCAGCCGGGGGCACCTACCTCGATCCACTTCTGCGCCTCGGAAAAAGCAGGCTCGGGGGGCGGCTCCGGCTGCAGAGGGTGAAGAGCTTCCAGACCCAGAGCGGGACAAGCCATTTGCGAAGCCCCGCGTGCACTCGAGCGCTGGGCCGCCGGGATGAGGACGGCCGCCGCCGCCGCCGCCGCCGCCGCCGCCGCCGCAGGAGCGCGCTCCCCGCCCCTTCCCGCCCGCCCTCCCCTCCCGGCCCGCCCCGCCCCGCCCCGCCCCCGCCCGGCGCAGGTCCCGGAGGAGAGCGGCGCGCTGCCGGAGGACGCCGCGGCAGCTGCTCCCTGCGCCGCCGGGTCTCCGCCGCGCCCCGAGTCCCCCGCGGGAGCGAGCGCGGAGGCGCCGGGAGCTCCCTCTCTCCCCACCTTCTCTGGCCGCTCCGCCCCCCCGGGGGGAGGGTGTCAGCTACCGAGTAAAAATAACCGCGAGTGAGCACTGGGTGTCTCCCTCCCTGCCCGCAACCGGGCCTGGAGCCCTCGGGCAGCCACCCCGCACGTCCCTGCGCGGTGCCCCGCTGCGGACAGGCGAGCGGGTCGGCCGGCGCCTGGGAGATGCGCGCCCACCGCGGCGTACACGTCCCCGGGGGAGCCGGAGGGCCAGCGGCGGGTGGGAAGGACGCGCGGGCAGGGGCGCGGGCGGGGGCGCGGGCAGGGGCGCGGGCGGGGGCCCTAGCCGCACCTGCAGTCCCGCCCGTTCGCAGAAGTCGGTGCGGGGGAGCGGGGGGAGCAAGAGGCGCAGCCCTCGGTCCCAGAGCCAGGCAGGGTTCAGGCACCCGATCCTAATGTGAGAAAAAAAGAAAAACCACCCTTATAAGCCTTTTTCTCTTCAGCCAAGCTATTTATAAGCCAACCAGTCTTTTGATTCATTCAACCCATATTTACTGTGTGACTATGTATCAGGCACTGGGGTTGGCGCTGGGGACCCAGAGATGAAAAAATAAAGAAAAATAGAAAACGCCGAAGTCCGTGCCCTCCAGATAGCTACCTTCTAGAGAGGATGGCAGGGGCTAAGGTAGGCAGACAAATAGACGTGTAAAACAAAAGAAGGTGATTGTGGGGAGTCCTGTAAAGAGAAAAGAGAAGGTAAACTGTGACCTGGGAAGAGAGAGGATTAGCTGACTTCCGATTACCTCTCCACTCCTCCTGGGAGGCGGTCCGATCTGTGCGCCCAGGCTCGGTGAACGGGAGGGAGGCGGGAGGTCAGCGGGGAGGTGGGGTATTTATGCTGCCCCTTACTGCAGAAATCCAGCAGACTGGCTGCTGCACCAATTCCCTGAGGACGACAGCCCTGCCTGGGGGCCGTCCTTGGGTTCTCCGAGGTTCCCAGTCTCCTCTTGTCCCAGCCTATTGCCCCAGGCCAGGTAGTGGTAAAGTCCTCCCCATCTTATTGTGGTTTCCCTCCCCTCCCCACTTCCTCCCAATGGTGTCCGAATAAACTCTCAGCCACTCTCCTTGAGCACGCCTTCTGTTTTGCTCCGGAGCCCAATTTGGTGAGCCTGGAAGGTTTTTCTGACAAAGCTGGGTGACAAGATGACGTGAATGAGAGAGACGTTAACCACGCAGCCATCTGGGGAACTATTCCCAGATGCCTATAAAGGCCTTGGGATGGGAATGAGCTTGGTAGGGGTCAGGGGACCCACAACTAGCATGCATGACTGGGGCGTGATGAGGGAGGAGCCACGTGGGAGCGACAACATGGGAGAGGCCTCAGGCTAGGCCAGGCCTGAGGCGCGGAACGGGGCTCAGGCTGGCACCTCAGAGCTCAGTACCTTCAGCCAACCTAAAGCGAACGGATTCACATTTTAGAACGGCTGATAGCGAGAGAGTTTGGACGGGGCAGGAAGTCGGTGGGTGCCTCCGCAGCTCAGCCTCTGTTCCCTGTCCAGAGTCCAAGTTTAGCTTTTGCCCAATTCTGCTACTTTAACAGGGGAATGGAACAAGAAGCAGGCCTGAAATTCCACCATGAGCAGCTTTGGATTCAGACAGCTTTCAGTTTATTTACTTTTACAACACTTCTATGGTACTTGCGTGGTACCAGGCCCTGTTCTAAGTGCATTACAAATAATTGACTAACTCATTCCCTGTTCCAACCTGGTAACATAGACTATTATCAACCCTGTAAGGAACTAGGAGAAAGAAGGCGGCGAGGGGAGGGGAGGGAGGCAGCTGGGGAGCCCTGAAGCCCGGATTCAAGCCCAGACAGCCCGGCGCCATCTGCCCCTAACCATGCACTGCACGGTCTTGCCAGGCCCGGTCCCAAGGCCACCACTTACAATGCATGCCTCAGTTTCCTCATCTCAAATGAGGTTGAGATGGCAACCTTTCAGCAGAATCACTATGAGGAGAAAACAGGATTTCTGAATGTGAAAGGACCCAGCTTGGGGCTGGCAGAGACAGTGCTCCGTTTAATCTTTCCTGCTTTCCAAAAAGGAGGGAGGGGGACATTACAAAGAGTAAAGAAGACAAGCTGAGGAAAAGGGCTAAAGAAATATTGTCAGAGGAGGACCTTGTCTCTACAAAGAAACATGGCAAAGTCAGTAATTCACAATCAGCCCCGGCACACTAATGAAAGATGCCCCTTTGGGCAGGCTTCCCTGCAGGGAGCAAGTGGGAGGAGGGGAAGCCCTGACCCAAATGTTCGAAAATGATTTCATGAAGGTAAAATCTACCTTATCAGTAAAATGGCTGCTATTGAACCCGGCATTCAAACTAAAACATTTTTCTTCCAGTGAAATACATTTATACATGAAGGTTAATAATCACAAAATAATACCTACTTTTCCTGGGCTCTATTACCAATAAGAAATTCACAGAGATTACCAAAGACCCAAGGACTTACAACCATAATGGAGTTCAAACCTCATGCCATTCTCAAGAACTTCTACAAATTATTGTTAAGCATCTACTTTCTGTGCTAACATCAGAGGACTCCACAAAGGGACACAGACCTTTTCCTTTAGGGGCTAATACTTTTGTTAATGAAACAACATTTTCATTTCTGTATAACATAGTTTTCAAATATAAAAGTAATATATGTCCACTGGAGGAAATTTGAATGAAGAAATCAAATCCAGAAGAAATGCCACAATTCAAAGATCATCACTCTTTGGAGGATCTGAAGCAACATTTGGGTGGGAAAAAAAGAGCCATAAGACAAGGCACTCTAGGATAAATGCCAGAGGAAGGATATATGTATTCAGAGAGCATGGATTTTTTAGTGACAGATTTATTGAGATATCATTCACATATTACTTTTTAATATATTCACTGAGTTGTACAACAATCACCACAATTAATTTCGGAACATTTTGATTTCTCCAAAAAGACCCCCCCCCCAGTCTTTAGCTGTCATCCTCCAAATTTCCCATGCCCCTGCACCCTGGCAAGCACTAATCTCCTTTCTGTCATGATCAATTTGCCCCTTCTGGGCATTTCATATAAATGGGATAATACAATATGTGGTCCTTTGTGTATTGTTACTCTCACTTAGCATAATGTTTTCAAGGTTCATCCATGTGTCTGCATATATCAGTACTTTGGTCCTTTCTATGGGCGAATAATATGCCATTGTATGGGTATACCACATTTGTATATCCATTCATCAGTTGATAGACATTTGGGTTGTTTTCACTTTTCAGTTATTGTGAACAATACTGCAATAAACATGCCTGTACAAGTCTTTGTGTGGACCCATGTTTTAATTTGTCTTAGTAAATGCCAAGTGGAATCATTGGGTCATATGATAATTGAGTATTTAACCTTTTGATAAACTAATGTACCATTTTTCCAAAATGGCGGTACCATTTCCACATTCCCGCCAGCAGGGTAGAAGGGTTCCAATTTCTCCACCTCCTTGTTAACACTTGCTATTTTCTGATTTTTTTTTTTATTATAATTATCTTAGTGGATGTGAAGTGGTATCTCGTTGTGGTTTTAATTGGCATTTCCCTGATGACTAATGATGTTGACATCTTTTCATGAATAATTGGCCGTTCGTGCATTTTCTAGGAGGAAATGCCTATTCATATCTTTGTCCATTTTTTTAATTGAGTGATTTCTCTTTTTATCATTGAGTTAGGAGAGTTCTTTATATATCCTAGGTAAGAGTCCCTTATCAGATATACAATTTGCAAATGTTTTCTTCCATTCTGTGTGTTGGCTTTGCACTTTTTTGATGCTATCCTTTGAAGAAGAAAAGTTTTTAATTTTGATGAAGTCTAAAATATCTATTTTTTCTTTTGTTGTTTGTGTTTTGGGTGTCTCATCTAAGAAAGCATTGCCTCATCCAGGGTCGTGAAGACTGATGCCTATGTTTCTTCTAACAGTCTGATAGTTGTCCCTCTTACATTTTGATCTTTAGTCCATTTTTAGTCATTTTGTCTAAAATCATGGGTTTTGAGGTTCCACAAACTAGGGGAGATAGTCTGGGTCTTCTGAGAAGCAGACACCAAGATAGAGTTAAATGTGCAAGGATTTTATCAGGGACATGACTTTGAGAGAAAATGCTGGGGAAGCAGTCAGAGCACAATGCAAGCCTGACCTCAAGCAAAGAGAGGGAAGGAAGTTCAGGCAGAGTGTCATCTCGGGCTCCAAGGAAGCTTTGGCGAGGAGGTCTGTGGGCCAGTCTGCTGCCAGAGGAGTCCAGGGTCTTCCAGGAAAAGCCTGACTTAGTATCTCTGCCATATTTAGTAACTGGCTGCGAGCAGCCCGGTGGAAAGCCGGGCTTAATGCAGACATGGCAATGGACTTCAGAGCACAGCAGCTGGGGCCATTGGTCAGTGAAGCTCCCCAAAGAGCACATGGTTCAGTTGCCACACTCAAGTTCGAATCTAGCCCTGTCACTGTGTTACAGGAGTGAAAATGTTATTTAGCCTTTCTGGGTTTGCAGTTTTATCAATAAATCATCTGCTTCCTTACCTGCCACTTAGAAATTAATGGATAATAATAATTTTGATGACATTGTGTATTAAAATATGTATATCTATTAGTATATAAAATGAGGTAAATCAATTGGACAAAGACTAACTCTAAATGACACCATGTAAAATAGTTTGGAAACTAATGGTTGGTGGTAAATAGGGGTACTGAATTTCTCATTCTCCAAAGTCTGACTTAAATGTCACCTTTCTGGCAAC